AGATAAGATAGGCGCATTATTACTGAAAGCCTGTATCTACATCATCAAAACAAGAAACGGATATGGAGTGTTAAATTTTGGCACTCGTTTCATGTTTTAAGGTTAAATGGATACAATCGCCTGTGATGGCGATTGCCGACCAATTTTGACCATTTACCGGCGCTTATAATAGCTAAGAACTTTATTCGCTTCTTTATCGACATAGGATTTCGTCTTTGCTTAATCAAATTGATATCTTGTATTCGAACGAACCATCAACTTACGCAGTAGCTTTGGCATTTTATCTAATCGTTCATATTGAAACAAGATTGAAGTGCCGACTTTTGTCTCTCTAGAATAGATGTAAGACCTGTCATTCCAATCATGACTTCTAAGAGATAGTTGATGGGTATATTCACCTGTGAACGAAACCAAGTGAGATCTTGTTAATTCAGCGATACATAAATCCAACATTCGGTACATTCGCCAGCAACGCAAACTCCATTCTTTGTAAATGTCTTTCATCACCTACACATTCCCATTTGTCAGAGTGTGGCTGTTGTATAAGGGGGTAGAATAGCTCGAAAAATACAATATGACTCTTTCTCATTGCGAATCGACAAAAACGTCGACGTTTTCGATAACGATGCCGATATGGTCGGCATGAAGAGGGTCAAAAATCCGGCAGTAGCATTGAATTTACTACTGGCTCGTCGGTTGATGATGATACTTATCAATCCAGCATCGCCAAAGAATGCATAAGCAAGAGCTATGACACCTCGCTTTGGAAGATAAATATATCTCCGCGATGAACTAATGGCGCACTGACAAGATTGCGAGTCAGCAAATCATTCTTGCTGGCACGAGAAGCATGTATTAGTTTGTTTAGGACTACAATAATGAAGTGGCATAATGATACATTGAAACGTTGACAAACGTGAATGAGCGGACCTTCTTTCATTTTACGAATAAGAAATTTCGAGGAAAGAGCAGACGTTTTTCATTTTTGAAAAAGGAGAGCCGTACGAGCATCAAAATTTCGTACGAATCTGCTTTCGAATATGAAAGAACTTCTGCTCGTTGGTATTTTTCCGCATTTCAAATTGACCGGCAAACCGCTGTCTCAATAATCATTTCGCTCGTGAAGAGTACAACCCTCTTTTGATGGTGGAGATATCCACCACGCTCAAATATTAATATCAGACTAATGAATTTATGTTCCAGAGTTAACTGTAAAGTGACCTTGTAAAGAAGATCTCACTTTGATTGATCGGGGATTTTCCTGTCAGGCCACCACCATCTTGCTTATTAGATGAAATATCCCGACGAATAAGCTCAACTGTAAAAAGCGAATTTAAAAGATTTTTTACTCGGTTTGCCCGATGACCTTGCATATAACTGACATGGATCAGACATTTTCCTTGTTCGTGTTATAGGCCATCACTTAACTCATAAGTTAAGCGATTTAGCACTGTAACATATAGCTATTACTAATAGGAATACTGCCAAATCCTATCTCCATTACTAAATTTATATTGATTAGCGCAGTGCTCGACCTTTCTACGTGAAGTGTGTCTTGAATGTTCGCAAAGTGAAGGGACGTCGGACGTATTACCTCGCTTGGTGGCACAGTATTTTACGTTCATAAACTAGTTTGTAGACTTGGTCCTTAATAATGATTGGCTATCTCATCCTCGTCCAAACGTAATACGAGATTAGTGGTGGTTTAAAAACACATTTTTAGCTACAAAAGCTCAAGGCAATTGTAGAGGGCTTGTCTTGACGAAAATCTGATCTACGCTTTATAGAAAACGCAAGCCTTAGATATAGGCTGATTTCCGAGGAAGACTTATTTAAGGTACGTTATGAACTGATCATACAACTTTGACACAGGTCCCATTTATATGACAGGGCAGTCCTGCTTCTCGAAGATCCCGGTCAAATTTGTACCGAGCGCTGGTAGGTTATGCCTCGATAACCTGAAACGAGCTGCATTAAGTCTGTCAAGCCAGGCTTCACATACAATGCATTCAATTGTGAATGAATACATTCTAAACTTGATAGAGCGAGTGATCTTCAAGACCACAAATTACCGTTGTACCCTCAAGTTGTGATGAAACATCGCTGCAGAAGTTTCGTTCCATAGAAGTTTTCGTACGGCCGTAAAGGCCATACCCCCTAAACTAATGCAACAAGGGATTTTGGTCCCGATCGATCTTGATTCGGGACACAGATCCAAATACTGCTGTGCACAGGCCACGGTTCGCTTTCAGAATTGTGACGAAGTATATTGCGACATCTTTCCTCATATAATGCCAAAAACGTCTCATCAATATTATCGTCGTGAACACTTAGCTCCGATTGTGACGGGGTAGTCCGTTACATGACATTGACATCAAGGAGAAATTGACAATAAAAAAGATTGCGTTGAATATTAATTCAACAATATCACAAAGCATGATGGTATAGTTGGGATGACCGAAGGGTCTACTCATTGGTTGATATTGATATGATATTAACCCACCAATCGCTGCTAGACGCGTGCGATGAGTGGTGAGTAGACGTCATCATACGTTAAGTCGATTAATCTAATCAAGTCAGAACGACAAGAGAAACATGAGTGATAGGACTTAATCGTATCAAATAACAACTTTACTTTTGCCACGACTAGATCCTTTGCCTTAGTCTTTACCTTCCTATGTATAATTGTTTACACCTAGTTGGGCACTGACCTCCACTGTTGTCAGTGAAAGGTAAACTTCGTACTAATAGTCCAGTACGTAGTCGTCGGTTCCTGTTACACCGGTGACTCTGACTAGATGCAACGCAAGTATTGCAGGAGCTAGCACCCTCGCGCCAATGAACCACGACGTTATTTTGAAATTTTCGTTGACTGGACCCGCAATACAAGTCGTCCAATTGTTCAGACGAGCCAAACATGTACCGTCTTATACCACAACGCTGTTTTTGGCTGTGCGAAGTTTTTTTAGCCTTCGCCCTTGCAGCCTTCGTATCACCAGAAGGCTCGGCAAACATTTCCGAGTTGTTAGGGAATCCTATGGCCAGAGTTCATGACCTTCGACTCGTGGTCAGCGGAACTAGTAGGACTCGCACACGCTACATAAGCCGTAGGCGCATCGCTGCATGCACCTGCAACACCTCACGTTGCAAGATGCGCTGCAGTTATACAAGGTAAGGGACCACCGGTTGCTTACTCTACCTCTTTGCAGCTATACTCATTCGTGAAGCCGCATTCACTGCAGCTTTAGCTGCACACCGCATATAATTGTCTAGCATGCGGTGAGAAGCAAACATACATGGTCTGACCAACAAGTGCTCTCTTACAAAAGTGATCCAATATTGCAAGACCACTCTGTCACCAATCATTTGTTATCAGTCACTAGGGTGGCTAATTTTTAGCGGGGTAAATGTAGCGGGTAGCCCATTACATTCAGTTGACACCAAATTGGGTCAATTTGGAATATTTGCGTGGTTGATCATATTCACAAATATGTACCCTGCCAGTTACCCATGGAGGATAAGTACCTTTGACGGGATTGTTCGGCAACAATTTTCCTATTGATCAAAGTAGGCTAATAAAATTAATCGAACCAAGTACCAATGGCTGTAAGACGCGCGAAGTGGGTATAGAGGGAGTGGGTACTTTTGGAGATGTACTATTATGAAGTTTGAAGTAAGATCAGACAAAAATCTATTGGAAAATTTTTATACATTCTACAGATTTCACCTTTTTCCTTATCATGAACTGCTTTGTTGGGCGATAAAGCTTTCCTCTACATGTACAGTATGTGTTAAAATATAAGTAATCGGTCTGCACTGTGGTCAGTGCAGGTAGCTTGATCTGTGTCGGTATAAAATAGAGGGGGGTGGGCGTTTGAATCTGTATAGAATGATAAAAGAGAGCAGTACAATATGGTGTCGTTCAATGCGCGAGCAACGCTAGTGTGAATACATAACGGAGCCTACATATGCCATGATATCGTCGACATACTGCAATCTTGAGTTCATTGTAATGATCAGCCTTCTATTCATATACGTGTTGCAAGTGCATGTGATAAAATACACGGTCCGGTCTGGAAGAAAAGTTACTGCACGTTGGCACGCAAACAACAACGGGAGTGACGGTTCCGTGCCGGTTCTTCTATTCATCTACTTCTTTGTCAGTTGGTATTGAATGGATACTCGACGAAAATATCCACTTTCTGCACCATTTCAGACGGTTATCATGATTAAAATTACACCGCATATCACACGACAAAGCTTTTCTAAAAAAATTCACATGGCGTTGGCCTTCATAAAAATATAGGATCCGGTTAAGCGAAAAAAATGAGAGCGACGCTTGCATCATACAAATAAGGAGAACATCAGCCTCATACGCCGGGTCAACAAAAATACTTCACCTAAGTTCGCAACGGTTATGTCTTGTGCTAGCGCCTATTGTGGTGTTTGCTGACTTGACGCTAATGGTATTGGGTGTATCTGGAAAACTTTCCATTCAAGGCGAAGGTCAATTGTCCTGTGGACAGGTCACGGTGATCTATCTTTGTCTACAGGTCGTAAATTTGTAGACGAGGTCACGATGATCTATCTTCGTGGCCTTGTTCACAGGTCTTACGGCAATTGGCCTTTTCCTTTGATGCGGAATGTTCCGACTACCGCAAATACGATGTCATTCATCGAGATTGTTTGAAATGTGTGAGGTTACAGTCTGATAGAGAAATTGGAATTTGTTTCTAAAAGCTTATTGTGGGCAAGACACCGATTGCCCATTCGCTCACAACTGCGTTTTTCTTCATGAAACCGTGACCAAATTAGAAACTTTCACTGCTTCTATTGCATCAAGTAACTGCTCAATCTTAATGCCCCATGTGTGTGAAATTGAACATCCAAATGGCGCGCTGAGTGTGGGGGCGCTGCTCGACAACAGCTCTAGAAAAAATTCCAAGAGACTACGTCTTCTTCGTTTTGGTAATCCCTAGTCCAGCTTCGTTTGAAAAAGGCTACTGCGACGCTTCGTCTTCTGCGCTGTACAACCATCCAACCGTGCGTAATACGCCTTGCATAATGTTCAAGCCATCCACATCCAAATTGAGCTTAGTGACCTGCGCCTGCGGTTCGTCCTGACCATCTTCCTCGCTAATCCAAGACTGCATCTGTATTTTTCGGTGCAGTGGTACGAAGTCGGCGTCCCCTTCAAACACACAGCGACACATCAATGGCAACTGTGGCACGCGGCCTTTCTCCTGCAGCACAATGGCCGCACGAGCCAGCATCCACATCATCGGCACAGCGTCTTTTTTCCCGACATGCGTCCCTGTCAGTCCAACCACGCTAACCTCCTCGTATTCAGTGAGATTCCGCTTCGAGCATGAGAAAGTGTCTACCTGAAGGTTCGAATTGGCACGCATGACAAGTTCCCTGTCCAGTGCAGATGAAGACTCAGACAACGGCACAAGCAGCACGTCTTGCTTAAAAGGGACGGAGAACCATGTAATTGACTGCCAAACTGTGCCTTGATCATCAAATAAGTCCGTCTGCACAACGAACTCTATCTTCGTCTCAAGGAACCGCTTTTCCGTCAGCACCATGATACACTGCGATACACACATTTACCCCAGCGAACAGCAAGAGATTTAACCGTAGCAAAAATAAACGACAGTGTCGTCAGCATACACTAAAGGCACGGACGCACCTTCATCTCGGGGGTTGTCGGCGCCTCTTCATTCTGCGGGGAAAACCGCATGTCAAGATCGCGCACCTGAACAATGTTGATTGCTTCTAGCCGAATGTCGCGCACGCTTGCAGGGAAGTGCGAGTTACCAAACAGTTGTATGAAGAGGCTCCCTATGGCTACCTGAGGAAACAGGAACGGAACTTGCTCCAGTGCCAGCTTAGGTAAACCAAGTGACGTTGCAAGCTTGGCAAAATCCACGGAAAGTAGTGCAAATGGGCACTGCAACGTAATGCGCGGGCATGGGCTGCGAAGGATCGACGTCCGCCAGCCGCGGCGTGTGAGAGGCGACAGCCAGCATCGCCAGCGAAACTCCTTCGTGCCGAGGTCGGCGGGGGACGGAAGAGCAGCATAGCTCTGCACGATGTCGTGGTCCCACGTGATGATCACAAAGGCCACAGGCAGCAGCACAGCCACGACCACCAGAAGGAATACGCTCAGCAAGAACAGCATTGCGACTGGATGATTTATGGCTGATTTTTAAAATTACTCGATCGATTTTCGAACAGTGGATTTCCACTCAACGTTGCCATAACTCTGTCGCTATGTTGACTTTCGCGGTGTCTTAGTGTATTTTCACGAAACTGCCACCATCTTGTCTGCATAGCGGAGACTTTGTGCTGCTGGTGCGCGTCATACTGGTGCCCCTCAAGCATTCCACCGCTACTTCACAGTGTCCTCCGTGTGTACACAAAGAGTGTTCTGTTGGTTGCATTTCAGCCTACGCGAATGTCGCGCGTCGTGGTCCATCCAGGTGACCGTGATGCCTTGCTGCTGGATCCTTCCACTGGCCGCATCCTGGCTACCGGCATTAACAACGTCGATAATCAGGTAGTAAACAACGGGGAAGAGTGTCACGCGCTTATGCTTTCGCTTCAATAGGCACAGAAGCGTTATGCCACATACGTGGGTGTGTTTGTGGATCGCAGCTCGTCGTGCGGTCGTGCGACAGATGCAGGGTTAAAACCGCATAATGTAAGCGGTGAAGCAAGTTGAGGTATCAGCGCAACTATTTGCGAAGCTCCATCAGCAGTTTAACGAACTTCGTGCTGTCCTTTCTCACGCGGTATCGTCTCCAGAAGCTTAGCATCGGATGTAGCTGTCGACGGCCTCAGGGGAAGAAAGTACGACGATTGCGGTGCCATCGTGCCGTCGTCAAAGATTAAATATGAAAGACGTTTCTACAGTACTACACATGACATGCCGAAAGGTTGTTTGAATGTCTAATTATACATTCATGTTGATGTGGTCGCGTCAACTATCGTTGCTACACACGTCGCACATAACTTGAACCCTTGTGATTGCAGCTACTCAATGGCGGGCCATTTCGCCAAAACAGATACAATTAGATATCATATGCAACCAAGCATTATACAGGTTTGTAGCGTCCTATTGATTGCAATTGGCAAATCTACAAGTGAATGAGCGCAAGGTGATCGCCAATCTGGTACTGCATTGCGTTTTGTCACATGTAGCCTTGACGTGACATTGAAATCAGAATAGTTTTACTATAAACATGGTGAATGTTGAAGCGTTTAAAATATTATCTGCTAACTATTTAGTAAACGGATAATGACACCCGCATATAAGTTGGTATCAGCTTAGTCTACACCTATAGAGAGGAATGCGTTTCACTGCAGTCTTAGCCAACAGTCTGACTAGCTTCCGTCCTCGGATGAACAAAGGCATTTACGCCTATAAAGAACGGACACTCAACGAGTGGCAACCGCATAATCGAAGTACAAGTTTCATTCAAATTTATCGCCTACATCAGCTTAAGTGTTTTTTAAACGGACAACACAAATTATAAAAATAGAGTCCTCCTTTCCTTAGCATATTACAAGTTTGCCGTATTGAACGCTTTCTGCACGTAAAGCACTTAATGTATTGAAGGGGCAATCTTACACCGTCATAAGTGTTGATCGCTTGCACTGCGATAAGTCAGGCGGAAGGTGCCTCGTTACACTTAATATCACTTGTTGTTTATTCACAGGTTCCTTCATAGAATAAGTGTCGTGAGTGTCTTTGCACCTCGAGCCTTGTGACCATCTGAGTAATATCAATAAATTAGTTGTGGGTCATACGGCTAATTACGACGGCGATGCCATCGCCGATGCCTGGTCGTGTGACCTGCCAAAAATACACAAACCACACCACTAGCGCCGAGCTCATTCAGCTAGCACTGTTGAAGCGAAGTATAAGAGCTCTCTGACAAAAGCGAAAATCTTTAGAGCGTTAGCTGTTGCAATACTACGCACTCAACAAGTTGTTTGTGCATTCCGAAAGGGGATTTTACACTCGCAACTTTGAGACAGCAGCATAGGTGCTGCTGCTGAATCGTTGGTGCGTACGCATTGATCACCACTGTTATGGGGCACCCTCCGCTCGGAGAGACAGTGTACATGGTTTCTTAACTGACCACGGTGTAAGTGTAGTAAATATAGCGCTTTTTAGGAAAGAGGATGATAAGAAACTGCATCAGGGTAACTTACTTCTCCCTGAACTACTCTGTTGCCTTACCCTCCCTTCTCCAATCGTTTCAAATCGTTTGGTCGCTAGCACTAGCTACTTCTATTTACTATGGATGCAGGAAACGATGGATGGCTCCAATCGAAGCTTCCACTTCAAAAATCCTCAACTTCAAACAAAAATTCGGTTCCTCGAAGCCTCGCCTGCGATGTACGTGCAGAGGAAGGCTTCATCTTTCAAACAAATACGCTCAAAAGAAGGATAATAGAACTATATACTATATTGGTAAAGTCTCCTGTGATATACCCCTTTTCCCTTACTTTGACTGACTGATCCACAAAATTCAAAAGCAGCTACGCGCTCACCACTCATGCGCGCGTATAGCAACTATTGGTGGCCGAATCGTTCGACATCATGTCTATATCAATTAAAAATGGACAGGTGCCGAATATAATATTTATAGGTGATAATTCTTCAATATTCGCTATATAAGGTAAATATTGGTATATATTATCAATTAAGATATTATTTGAATTGACACAATTTAGTGTCGATGACATGTGGCGGGCTCACCCCGATACAAGAGAGCTCAAATATCTACATGCTAAAGTAAGAAGGTGTTCGGTGCATTTATTTGCAGCAAGGATATTGCAAGTGTGTGTATAAGCACAATCATCTGTTAATTGAGTATATAACCGTAGGCAAACTTTTTCTGGTTGATTTCTCGCTACGTAACTTACTAATGCTTCGATCGCTAAGCTGACGTGGAGTGTGTTAAACAACGCGACCCTTGGGACGCAATGACTGCTGTAATGCAACGAATGTTGGGGTAATGCGACGATTCACGAGCGAGGCGACTGCCGGCTGCGTGCACAGGAGAGTTATAGGGAGCGTTCAATCATGAGCGATAAAGACGACGCTGTTCAATAAAGCTCTCAGTTCTTTATCGAAAATTTTCGGGGCACTACGATCTAACAGAGTGGGCATCACAAAACCCTTGTTATACCGATTCTTATTCGGTGTCCACACGACCGACTGTCGGAGGGGGTACTCCGTTTCTGTAATGGGCCACCCTGTTACACAAGTTGTCTCGATTAAGTTTACATGTTAATTAAGTAGGGTGTCTACGTCCGAAGTAGAGGATGTAGCAAGTCGCATATTTGTAGCTGGTTTAATGGGCTGAATCCATTATTAGCCAGTAAGATATCGACACGTAGATTCAGTGGTTCTCATGAATCCATGAGAACTATACGTACTTAGGATTATAAAGGACAAATAAATATATATTGAGTTCAAAAAATACTTAATGCCTAAAACTTGGGGTTAAGGATTCCTAAGCATAGATATTGTAAGTTAAGTAAGGGTTGTTCTAGCCCCGTTACACCTGGTAGCACTTTGTAGTCCTTCCCATGCCCGAGTTTAAGCTGAGCGATTCGTTGTACTTTAAAGCTCAAGACGCGAGTCTGGGCACGCGACTTTTCCCCGTCTCACTAATGTTGAGTACGATGCGCTAAATAGCCTCGCTGCGATATCTGAAGAGGCATTTGTTGTGTCACTGATGAAATCAGCGACTACTGATGGACAGCGTCTCGCAATACACGACTTCTTGGCTCGCGAGCTCGCCATATCTAATCGGCGAGGTTTAACTCCCTCGCGGACTTCACGGAAAGATGCCGTGAAGATGGAGACCTCCGTCTACTCTGGCGAAGGCGAAGAGGGCTTGTCGCTGTCGCGTTGGTTCCGCGAGGTTGAGATCTCTATAGCCTCGAGACTTCCAGATACTACTCAAGCGAAGGTCGACTTCCTCTTTTCCCGTCTCACTGGGAAAGCAAATGAGTGGGCTCTTAATAAACTCGATGTAGACGAGTATGTGTTCTTTATTCTTATAGCCATTCAGAGTGACCTTCGGCTCGCCTTCAAGCCGCCACAATAAAAGAAGTTGGTGCGATTGAGGTTCCTGTCCTTGAGATAGGGTGAGATATCCATGCGCGACTACGTGCAGATCATTCGCCATCTGTCGTCGTGCATTGTCACGCACCCTGTGGACATTTACACAAGTGAACGTCTTTGTCGACAGAATGCGTGAGGGGCAGACTTGCCTATCACTGGAACGCGCGGAGCCTGCCACGTTGGAGGAGGATTTCGATATCGCCCTCACTGAGGATTTTAGAGTCACCACGGCCTACAAAAAGCCTAACATTGTTACGGTGGTGAAGTCGATCTCACAAAGTTACTTTAGTGAGTGTCGATCTTCCACTTGCCCAGACTTGTCGACTCACGGAGGGGATACTCCGATCCGTGCCTTGCTGTATAACCTTGTGCTCACCTTGTGTACCCGTCGGTTGGGCTGGCTTGAGCTCTTCGTAATGGCCTTGGGAGATGTCGATCTCGCTGAGGGTTTGGTGTTGAGCGTTCGCTTCCGGTGCGGAAATCTTAACACCACGAACGGGGTTCTGCGATCCTGATCTTGCGTCGCGGCGATCTATATTTGGAGATGTCGCGATCTCGATCTTGAATCACACCGATCTCGACTCGTCTTCGGGATCGGGGTCTTCGCTGTGCGGAAATCTTCACTCAGCAAATAATAGTCTTGCGTCGATCTTGCGTTGGGATTGGTCCGATCTGGTCTCAGGATCGGCCGATCTTGCCGGAAGTGCGCAATATGGACAGATCGGTTCTTGGTTTCGCCAAAATGAAACACGCCGATATGTCCAGTAGATCGCTTCGATCTCGCTCGGTCTTGTCTTGAACGCCTTGTCCAGATCTTCTAACCGCTTGAGCCGTCTCGCGATCTTGTGTCCAAAATCCTTTTCCTTTTCCTTTGTTGTGTGGCTGCTACCATAGCAGTTGAGTTGAGTGTGAGTACTTGATCGATCCGGGCCAGATATCCCGAGATCGCTCTTCTCGATCTTGGCCAACAATCCAAGATCGGTCTTCTGTGTCCCTGTAACACGCGTGCCTTAACCCGCCGGGGAAGCCAAATC